GATTGTTTGTCGCTTGACCATTTTACTGTTTAGTTGTGGATTGTATATTCACCCATACTTATTTGTTGTTTATTGTTTAATTGACCACTCCGTTGTTTGTTTGTAATTATATTGTCTCTTTGTTTATCCTTTTTCTGATGCAGCACACGAAAATTAGTTGTGACAATGACAGAAAGATCAAATCAAAGATAAATAAAAGCTACTGGTGTTGCATTGAAACCTGCCTTCTCCCTTGCCTAATTCCATCATTCCACTCCTTGCCATTGACGTCTTCTGACCGAGACTCTGTTTGCTCACCACACACTCACTCTCCCCGAACCACATCACCCCTACAGTTCCTTCAGTCGGAGAGCTGAGCGCTTGTGGAAATCAAGCAAGCTTCATGTACATCGTCTTTATTTTAAAGAACTGTTAGCTGAATTCAGTTCTGTTGTTAGGGTGGCCAGAGCCTCTTATTTTAAAAATCTCATCATCTCCAACAAGAGAAATCCCAGGGTCATTTTTGACACTTTAAGTAGCATTACTGGTGCGCAACCGCCTGCTCTACCTGTGTCCTCTGATGAGGACTGTAGCAATTTTTTAATGTATTTTGTGAATAAGGTTGCCAGTGTCAAGGCCAGTATAACACCCTCCTCCTCCTCCCTTCCTGATCTTCCCAAACAACAGTCAATTATTGACAATTTCTCACCTGTCTCCTTACAAGACTTAGCAGATCTTGTGTGCACTATGAAGATCTCTTCTAGTCCGCTGGATATCCTGCCCACAACTTTGCTGAAAAATGTTTTCAGCACTATTGGTCCATCTCTGCTCTCCATAATCAATAGCTCACTGGTTTCTGGTCGTGTCCCGTCCCATTTCAAGCAAGCGGTTGTTCAGCCGCTTCTCAAAAAGCCCAATCTGGACCCCGATGTTCTTAGTAACTACCGGCCCATTTCCAAGCTGCCCTTTGTATCTAAGATTCTAGAAAAAGCAGTTGCAAACCAGTTAGTGACAGCGTTGAACAGTTACAATATCTTAGATAAATTTCAGTCCGGTTATCGTCAGTTACATTCCACAGAAACTGCTCTTCTCAGGGTCTCCAATGACATCATGATGGCCTCCGATGCCGGTAAATCCACTATCCTGGTTCTGCTTGATCTCAGTGCAGCCTTTGACACTGTTGATCACCACATCCTTTTAGACAGGCTGAGGGACAGGGTAGGAATCTCAGGGACCGCTCTTCATTGGTTTAAATCCTATCTGTCTGATCGATCCTTTTCTGTGGCTGTTGGCCCTCATAAATCAGAGTTTGCCCCCCTTTCTTGCGGGGTGCCCCAAGGTTCAGTGCTTGGGCCTATCCTCTTTACGCTATACATGCTCCCTCTCAGAGATGTCATCAGCAATTTTGAAGGTATCTCATACCATATGTATGCAGATGACCTCCAGTTATATTTTTCTTTTAACCCTGATAGGACCGATGGAATTGACTCACTGTACGATTGTATGAATGTAATTAAGGACTGGATGTCTTCTAACTCCCTTCAGTTGAACGCAGCTAAAACTGAGATTTTAATTATTGCACCTGATGCCTCAGCATCTAAAGTGGCCAGCTGCTTAGGGTCCCTCAGTGCAAATGTGCGCCCCAAGTTGAGAAACCTTGGGGTCACATTTGATCAGGCCATGCTCTTCGATGACCACATCAAAACTGTCACTCGCTCCTGCTTTTTCCACCTCAAAAACATTTCCAAACTCAGATCCATGTTAACTTATTCCAAGCTAGAAATGATCATCCATGCTTTTATTTCCTCACGTCTGGATTACTGTAATTCTCTTTTCACCTGTCTCAATAAAACTTTATTAGAGCGCCTCCAGCTGGTCCAGAACGCTGCCGCCAGGCTTCTGTCCAGATCTCATAAGTTCACTCACATCACTCCAGTCCTGGCATCCTTGCACTGGCTCCCTGTTAATTTCAGGATCCAGCACAAGATTCTAACCATCACTTACAGAGCCCTCCATGGTCAAGCTCCTGAATACTTGACGGATTCTGGTGTCCTTTCACTGTCCTGTCAGGTCACTGCGGTCCACTGAAGGCCACCTACTTACTGTCCCTCACACAAGACTAAAGACGAAAGGTGATAGAGCCTTTAAGGCTGTTGCACCGAAATGGTGGAATGCACTACCTCATGAGTTGAGAGCGGCCTCTTCCATGGACATTTTTAAAAAGCAGTTAAAAACACATCTGTTTAGGCATGCGTTCCATTAATTGTCCATTGTATCATCTCTGTATTTCGCTGCACTTTACTTTTTATTTGTTTTTGTGTGTTTTGCATTGTTTCTGTTATTGTATTTTTTGTATTTTATCTTGTGAAGCACTTTGTGAGTCCTCTCTGTGAGAAGTGCTATATAAATAAATTTACTTACTTACTTCTGCTCCTCTTTTTTCTGCAATAGACAACGCAGCAACAGGAGAGCCTCAGTCAGCAACTCAAGGGGTCCCACCACAGACTAACCAACTTGGTGATCTCCAGCCTCTTCCTTCACTTCCAACTGGTCTATCCTTTCACGTCCATCTTCCTCACACAACACCCCAGTCTTTAACTGCCTGTCACCTGCCGCACCCCCACCTCCCATCATTCCTAGGCCCGCTAACATACGTCCTTCAGTCAATGTCCCCATGCCAAAGGGGGTCGACAAACGAGGAAGGCCGATCCTCTACCAGGGTGGCAGGATGGTGTGCAACAATTTCAACCACCTGGGCTGCGCTCTTTCCAACTGCCGCCTCCTGCATGTCTGCTCCTTCTGCAGCAGTGCGCATGCCAGGAGCACCTGCCCCCACAATCCAACCACAGCTGCAGACCAACTTGTACAGCACCTCAGCACCCCCGTTCAGGTAAATGTCCTTGCCACCGCTCTACAAAACCATCCTGATAGACAGCTTGTTCATTTTCTCATAGATGGCTTCACACATGGTTTTCATCCCAGTATGGCAGTTCTCCCTGACACTTCCCATATCTGTCACAACCTCCAGTCTGCTCTTGCAGAACCTCACACTGTCGACACCCTGTCGGCTAAAGAGGTCGAAGAAGGATTCACAATAGGCCCGTTCGATATTCCTTCTTTTCCACTGTTCTGCATCAGCCCAATAAGTGTTGCCACTCGCAAATACTCTGGAAGAAAGAGGCTAATTATGGACCTGTCTTCCCCACACGGCTCACACATTCCAAGCATCAACAGTGTCATTCCCTGTCTGGATTTCTCCATGCAATACGCAACCATTGACTATGCCATCACCCTCATTCTGCTAGCAGGATGTGGAGCTTGGCTTTCTAAAGCAGACATCACCAGCGCATTCAAAGTTTTGCCCATTCATCCTGACTTCTGGCGTTTTTTTGGCGTTTGCTGGAGGGGGGCATATTATTTTTCTGTGCGCCTTATCTTTGGCTGCAAAAGCAGTCCTAAGATCTTCGATTCTCTTTCAGAAGCCCTATGCTGGATCCTCACTAACAACCACAGGCTCCCTGACATTCTCCATCTTCTCGACGATTTTCTCATCGTCACTCCACCACCCTCACCCCCTCGCCACGGGCTCAATACGCTCACTAAAGCTTTCTCTGAACTTGGCGTTCAGAGAAAACATCAGGACCTGGCACTTCCATTGAGTTCCTAGGTATCACCCTGGACTCAATTTCCTTCCAAGCATCTCTGCCCTTGGAGAAAATACAGCACATCTCTCTGCTTCTGTCAAACTACCCTCTAGCAGACAGATGCACCAGCTGTTAGCCCTCCTTGGCCATCTCAATTATGCTATCCGCATAATCCCTCAAGCTAAATCCTTCTTGTCCATCCTTTTGTCTAAGACTGCTGCCATTCCCTCTCTCCACGATAGGCTCATTCTAGACGATGCCTGCAAAATGGATTCTCACATTACTATGTTAATAAAAGGCCTGCGCAAACAGGAACCGGCTCTCCCAGCTAGGCGCTTGCCACTCACTTCAGACCTTCTCAGCCTCTGCATTCTTTCCCTTCATTCAGGCTACATATCTCCTATGGTTGACCTAACCCTAGAATCCATGTTTCTGCTGGCTTTTTTCGGATTCCTGAGGTGCTCTGAATTTGCCCCGACTTCATCCGTCTATAATCCTTCTCATCACCCCAGTCTATCTGACATAACCATCCACACTGCTGACTCACTCATATTCACGCTCTGAAGGAGCAAAACAGATCAGCTGGGAGTTTCTTTCCCTATCTACTTATTCCGCCTCGAATCCTACCTCAGCCCATACGAGTCACTGACCAAATACATCAGCTCCAGGTATGCTGCCAAGGTATCACGTCAACACCCACTCTTTCTCACTGAAACAGGAAAAATGGCCAACTGATTCTGGTTCCAGAAACACTTACACCAAGTCCTACGCATTTCAGGCGTATCTCTAGAACTCTATTCTAGCCACTCCTTCCGCATCGGCGCAGCATCCACAGCAGCCAGACTAGGCATCTCAGACCAAAACATTCAGGTCCTAGGCCGCTGGTCATCCCAAGCATATTGCTCCTACATCTGCAACAATCTTAACGATCTCCGTCAAGCTCATGTTCAAATCAGTTCAATTTAAATCTGACTCTTTTGGGGGCCAGTGATCAGCTCAGGTGGATATATACGCCTGAGACGGAAACTCCACACTGAGTCTCCCTCCGCCCGGTCTTCAATACATCCTCCCAGACCAGCCTAACAGATGACATCTTCCCTCTACCTCACCCACATCCATCCATCTATTCTCAACATTCAGTAACTCCTGTATTCCATTAAACCTTTAAACGACATATTGTTGTGGCGTGGTTCTTGCTAGTGAACCAGTGTTTAGAGAATGTGTGTGTGTGTGCGTGTGTGTGTGTGTGTGTGTGTGTGTGAATGTGAGGTGATGAGGTCAGACTGCTGTGGTGGGCGTCCCCCTGACTTTACAAGGTTAAAAGAAGCAGACTGAGTGTGTCAGCTCAGGTGGGAGGGAGTCACAGTAAACACATCAGTGTTGATGCATCTAATGTCACAGCCTGTGTTACCCTGACTTTAGATCAGGTAAGCTGTGTGTGTGTGTCATGTGTTTTCCTTCACTAACATGAAGTTCAACTTGTTAAAGGTTCACAGAGCTGTGAGGAAATGTCCTTCAATGACTGCAGTGTGTTCATCCACTGACGTGTGTTACTGAGAGTCTGATGAGCTGACAGGAGGATCATGATCAACTCCACACACTTCTCATATTTCACACTTGCTGCCTACTCTGACACCGGGCTCTTCAAATACTTATACTTCATCATTGTGATGATTTTATACATGATGATTATCTGTGCCAACCTCCTGCTGATTGTGGTTATCTGTGTGAACAGAAGCTTACATGAACCTATGTACATGTTTCTGTGCAGCCTGTTTGTAAATGAACTGTATGGTAGTACAGGGTTGTTTCCATTGCTGCTGCTTCAGATCCTCTCTGACATTCACACTGTCTCTGCTTCAGCTTGTTTCCTGCAGATTTTCTGTTTGTACTCTTACGGAGGAATCGAGTTTTTTAACTTAGCCATCATGTCTTATGACAGATATCTGGCCATCTGTTATCCTCTGCAGTATAACACACGCATGACGTCCAATAAGATCGCTGTGCTCACTGCTCTGATGTGGATTTACCCTCTGCTTATCAATGCTTTGATCGTGGCTGGTCTGACGTTCCCTTTACAGCTGTGTGGGAACATCATTAACAAAGTGTACTGTGACAACTATTATGTCATTAAACTGGCGTGCTCTGACACAAGACTCAATAACATCTTTGGACTCACTCACATGTTCACAGTCATCTTGGGTCTTATACTTTTGATTATCTACACGTACATCAGGATCCTTAAAGTCTGTTTCTCTGGCTCTAAACAGACGAGACAGAAAGCTCTCAGCACCTGCACACCTCACCTCGCCTCTCTGCTCAACTTCTCCATCGGCTGCTTCTTTGAAATCGTGCAGAGCAGGTTTAATATGAACAATTTACCAAATATATTACGTATTTTTTTATCACTATACTGGCTCACATGTCAGCCGCTCATCAACCCTTTACTGTACGGACTGAAAATGACCAAAATACGTGTTTTATTTAGAAATATGCTCTTTAGGGGAAAAACGGTAACTGACAATAATATCAGATAAAATTATTATCAACTGTCAAGATTCATTTTCTTTGGATTTTCTTCTGTTCATCAAATTATTTTAGTGTTTTTATTGTTTTAATATTAAGAACCTTTAAACTGCATTTAAGAATCTTCGTATCATTGTTATTAATCTGAAGCAGGCACATTTCCTGTCACCAGATGTCCTCAGACTTTCCCTCCTCTCCACTCACCTCCTCCTCCTCCTCCTGCTGCAGATAGCAGATATGTATCATGTCACATTTAATCAGCTCCAAAGTTGCCGTGCGCCTCATGTCTTTGTTTTCAAGGCACCAAACCCTGAACCTGACCCCGACTCAGAGCCCATACCTCTACCTGTCTACCTGCACTGTCCCTGTCCACTTCCTGCTGTCCCCTGGACCTCATTCTTCTGTGTGGACACTTTGGACTTGTCTCTGTGCCCATGAGTTTCTGTGTCTTTGATTTCGGTGAATAAATCATTGAAGTGTCTCCGTCTGCCTCGACTCTTCTTCCTGCTGTCGTCTGTTCAGCAGTTGGACACCAGCAGAAGACTGTCCACCTCCTGAGCTCATCTTTACACTTTATATTTCAGTTTTATATCCTGTTTATAACTCTGTATACATGTGTTTATTAGACTTGTTGTTGTGCATATTCATTTGATCACATTTACTATGTTTTAATACATTCTGTGTATTTACTGTAACGACTTGTTATATTTGATCCCTGGACTTTAACAGGCACCACTTTATGTCTTAGATGCTCCTCATGTCTCGACATGGCTGATTTTCTTTTATATACACATTTCAGTGCATTGTCAGTTTTTAAATAAATAACTTCCAGCTTTGAAAGTTTTGAGTGGTCCTCAGGCTGCGACCTGAACTGAGTGCAGTCACAAACCAGCTGAGAACATGAGATAAACAAACACACTTATCTGAGACAGTCAGACTATAAGATGCAGCTGAAAGATGGTTTGTTGTATGAACCATTTGTAAATTCTGAGCATGAACTTCCAGCTTAAAATGTAATTTGTTAAAGAACAGACTCCCCTCAGTGTGTGTCAATGCACAGTGTGAAGCGCCAACTGTGAGAGCTCAGATTGTTTGATATATCCTATAGTTACACCTCAGTTATAACAAGACACACTATATCTGAAATAATAATCAGTCTTATAATGAAGCTGGATGCTTTCTCTGCACCACCTCTGGCTACGCCTGTCAGTTTCGGCTAATTTTGCTTTCGGTAACTGACACCCATTACCGACAACTAACCAGTTAAAAAAATGCAAAATGATGTGAAATACGCTTTAGTCCGGCGCTTCCTTATCTCAGTGAGCTCTACAGCATTTGAAGCGCTGTCCTTTAATGTTTTGTGTTGTAAATGTTTACCCTTTATCTTTTTCTGTCTCTCTCTCTCTCTCTCTCTCTCTCACACACGCACACACACACACACACACACACACACACACACGCTGCTGCAGCACAACGCTCTAGGCTGGCTCAGCTGATCGGTGCTCAAAGCGCCACAAAACAGGTTACAAAAATCCTCAAACTGTGAACTTCATTTTTTTCCTACACAGTGCAGCCAAATAGAGTTTAGACTTCCACATGTGCACCACTGTTCTGTAACATTCACTGTTGGGATATGAAAGGAAAAATAGGGAGAGAAGAGGGTCTTTCTCTGCCCACATTATTATGGTGGCACATTTCAGAGTTTTCAGGATTGGCAAGATCTCGGCCATGATGTGCCCGTACTCATCTTGTAGCTCTGGGGTCCTGGCGTCTGGTAATTTAGTGATCGCCCAATCAGACAAAACAGCTGTCACAGCCCATCTCTGCTCCACCAACCTCTCCAACATGTCGTAAACAGAGTTCCACCGTGTTGTTGTTGCCTGGAGCAGAGTGTGCTGTGGCAGTTGCATCTGGGCCTGTTTTGTTTTGAGTCCCATGGTGGCGGTGTGGCAGTGGTGAAAGTGCTTTACCAGCTTCGCTGCAGCAACCATTACGCCACTGATGTATGCGCTGAAGCCGTCATTGATAGCGAGCTGCTGCGTGTGTGCGACGCATGGCACAGAGTCCCAGGGAACACGCGCTGGGGAGTTAGCTGCCACAATGTTCCTGGCATTGTCATGAACGCAGGCCACCACACGGCCGTTGAGTAGGTTAGGCTATTACTGCAACACACACGCAGTGTGTTTGTATGCAAATTAGCCGACATACATAACCGGTCAAAAACATTCTCTGCGACTAACCGATTAACAGTTAACCGATAACATCCCTAGCTCTGGTCATTTTTTGGGGTGAGGCCTCTCGGCCTGCAGCGGGGCATCAAGGCCAAAAGTTGAAAATGTGGTTTTGATTTCACTTAAATTGACTAATCATTTCAAAAACATTAATAAAAACAGTGTAACACTGTTAGAGAAGTAAAAACAACAATCTTTATCAGAAGAATAATCTATTTCAGAATGTTATTAAGACTTTTAAAATAAGTTTCAACATGTTGTGGACGCAGACTGATGAGGTACACGAGTACGGTGACTTGTTTTTACATCACGTGTGTTTCTGTGAGTAGATCAGGAGCCAGAGCCTTCAGCTATCAGGCTCCTCTCCTGTGGAATCATCTTCCTGTTACGGTCCGGGAGGCAGACACCGTCTCCACATTTAAGACTAGACTTAAGACTTTCCTCTTTGATAAAGCTTATAGTTAGGGCTGGCTCAGGC